TAAATTATACAGAAAGTAGATCTAACTTGTTGGTAAATTATACAGAAAGTAGACCTAACTTGTTGGGAAATTATACAGAAAGTAGACCTAACTTGTTGGGAAATTATACAGGAAGTAGACCTAACTTGTTGGGAAATTATACAGGAAGTAGACCTAACTTGTTGGGAAATTATACAGAAAGTAGACCTAACTTGTTGGGAAATTATGCAGGAAGTAGATCTAACTTGTTGGTAAATTATACAGAAAGTAGACCTAGCTTGTTGGTAAATTATATAGGAAGTAGACCTAACTTGTTGGTAAATTACACAGGAAGTAGACCTAACTTGTTGGTAAATTATACAGAAAGTAGACCTAACTTGTTGGTAAATTATACAGAAAGTAGACCTAGCTTGTTGGTAAATTATACAGAAAGTAGACCTAGCTTGTTGGTAAATTATACAGAAAGTAGACCTAGCTTGTTGGTAAATTATACAGGAAGTAGACCTAACTTGTTGGTAAATTATACAGGAAGTAGACCTAACTTGTTGGGATATTATACAGAAAGTAGACCTAACTTGTTGGGAAATTATACAGGAAGTAGACCTAACTTGTTGGGAAATTATACAGAAAGTAGACCTAACTTGTAGGTAAATTATACAGGAAGTAGATCTAACTTGTTGGTAAATTATACAGGAAGTAGACCTAACTTGTTAGGAAAATATACAGGAAGTAGATCTAACTTGTTGGTAAATTATACAGGAAGTAGACCTAACTTGTTGGTAAAATATACAGGAAGTAGACCTAACTTGTTGGTAAAATACAGGAAGTAGACCTAACTTTGTTGGTAAATTATACAGGAAGTAGATCTAACTTGTTGGTAAATTATACAGAAAGTAGACCTAACTTGTTGGTAAATTATACAGGAAGTAGATCTAACTTGTTGGTAAATTATACAGGAAGTAGACCTAACTTGTTGGGAAAATATACAGGAAGTAGACCTAACTTGTTGGGAAATTATACAGTTAGTAGAAAAATAACTGTAGTTGTGTACATGTACACAAGAGGCTTTGCTTCAAGTATACGTCATCATAAAATGTCAGTTCAAAAAAAAATATAGATTAGTGACCATTGGGTTAGTATATCTGGTTTTTACACCATGCTTTGCCACTTAGCACATATACCAGAAGGTGTCTTAAATATCACAATAAGGTGAATTGAGATTCCCAGGCAGTCTTTGCATCCAGTATCATGTTATTTACTGCAAGGAAAAAACAAACAGGGCCAGGATTCTATGCCCCATCAATGGGTTAGTGGTTTGTTACTTCTTACCTCTAACATCTTCATCTTCAATTGTATTACTATCTAAGGACTCCTTAACTCCGTTTGATTTCTTATTCATCAATGTCCGCCCAGCTAAGGTAAAATAAATAATTTGAAAAAATAAATAAAATTATTGTGAGGGGTGAAAAATTGTTTGATCCCAATTTCACCATAAATGGTACAATTTATCTGTCAACAAAACAAAATATGGTTATTCCCAACTTTATTTATTTGATAATTTGAAGGAAGCTAACCATTCTTATTATAGTGAACTTTGACATCAACTTGTTAGTCATCATCACAAAACTTTCAACATCAGCAAAAAAAAATATTATAGTATGTCAGAAGTTCTAAACATTGTCAGTGAAAACTCAACATGCATATTGTACACTCAAATATATACTGCCATTTAATTAGACTAATAGCTGAAACGACAGCTTTTGTAAAATTTTTGTAAAATTGGACATGGAAGACTAATCATTGTTATTTACAGTCTTTGAATTGCGAGATAATTACCTGGAAAAATAATTATCTAGGTGGTACATTAAATTATCAGGTAATACATCCTGGTATTTTAGGTCATACATCCTGGTATTTTTGGTCATACATCCTGGTATTTTAGGTCATACATCCTGGTAATTTAGGTTATGCATCCTGGTAATTTAGGTCATATCAAATATTTATATGTCATACATTCTGGTATAACAAATTATCTAGGTCATACTTGAATTATTTGGATTACATATATTCTATATTAGGGGGTCAACATTTATTGCAATATGACATGATTAATGTCTTCACAAACTTTCATTTCTTATATTCCTTCAAAAATAAGGTGGCTTATAAATCTACAAATTTGCTTAGTTTCGGAAAATATATGACCTGCTGTCTCAAAGACAAAGTTAAAAAATGGACCCTTAAGTTCAAATGTCCTTGTATATTTTATTGTTTAGGTCATACATCCTGGTACTTTTTTAGGTTGTATACACTGCTTTTTTTAGGTCATACATCCTGGTACTTTTAGGGTCATACATCCTGGTACTTTTTCAGGTCATACATCCTGGTACTTTTTAGGTCATACATCCTGGTACGTTTTTAGGGTATACACCCTTCCTTATTTTATGTCATACATTCTGGCACTTTTAGGGTCATACATCCTGGTACTTTTAGGATCCTACATCCTGGTACTTGTTTTAGGTCATACATCCTGGTACTTTTTTAGGTTATATACCCTGCTCTTTTAAAGTCATACATCCTGATACTTTTAGGGTCATACATCCTGGTAATTTTAGGGGCATACATCCTGGAACTTTAATGGTCATGGGTCCTAGTACTTTTAGGGTCATACATTCTGGTACTTTTTAGGTCATACATCCTGGTACTTTTTTAGGGTATACACCCTGCTCTTTTTATGTCATACATCCTGATACTTTTAGGGTCAAACATCCTGGTACTTTTAGGCTCACACATCCTGTTTTTTTTTTACGGTCATACATCCTGGTACTTTCAGGGTCATACATCCTGGTACTTTTAGGCTCACATATCCTGGCATTTTTAGGGTCATACATCCTGGTACTTTTTTAGGTCATACATCCAGGTACTTTTTTAGGGTATACACCCTGCTCTTTTTAGGTCATACATCCTGGCACTTTCAGGGTCATACATCCTGGCACTTTCAGGGTCATACATCCTGGTACTTTTTTAGGTCATACATCCTGGTACTTTTTTAGGTTATATATCCTGCTCTTTTTAGGTCATACATCTGGCACTTTCAATATTTGATAGTTAGTACACTACTAACAAGTAACACAATATGTCACAAAGTTCATGCATCAGAATAAACTACTTCTGGAAGTGCAGGAAAACACTAATACAGTAGTAATGTTATTAAAACAAACACACAAATATAATCATAAGTAAATAATGCACTTGTATCGCTAGAAACAAGCATGGTTACGGTATAAGTACTATATTAATAATATTAAAACTACAACTAATATCAACATTCTCAGACAATTTAAATTGTAATAAATTTGTTGGAAATATTGCAGATCAATTAGCAAAGCATTCTAAACCATGCTGTTTCCCTATAGAAACCAGACAAACTAAGACCTGTTGAAGTATAATTACCCAAAATGCATTGCACTTTCAATTGAACCAATCAATGTTGGCTTGACAAAACAATTGTAAAGCAGCATGCTCTATGAATGTTTCAACTTTAAACTCTCAATGTAGGATCCACAAATGGACAACTGAACAAGTGAATGACAAAAGAAGCCAACATGACCAAACTTTTCAATCTTAAAAGACACCTTTCTATATTTTCTCAAATCACTGGTTGTGATATTAAAACAAGAGAAGGTAAAATGTATCTAATTTTATTTTTAAGGGATATTGGTTCTGTTAAAATTATTTTTTGATTCTATAACCAGCAATCAAGCTCTCTGATTGGCTGAACCATTAGCGTGTGTATATATAAAGCTTTCTGATTGGCTGATCCAGTAACGAATGTGTATATATCAAGCTTTCTGATTGGCTGAACCATTAGTGTGTGTATATATCAAGCCTTCTGATTGGCTTAGTAAGTATCGTGTGTGTATATATATTAACGTTTTTTAATTGGTTAAATCATCCTTTGGTCAATCACAGCCAAAACAGCTCTGTATAATTCAAGATATAGTGAAGATGAGATGAAAGATGAGAAAGACGCCAAGTTGTGAAAATATAATACAATTATTAAGTTAGTTAGTTGACACACCATATAAATAGAACTGATGCTGGTATCAATTAATAAATCCCCCCAAAATTATGAGATGGTACCTGTAAATAGTTGTAAGTAAACCACATTTTGACAATTTTTTTTTTTGGAACAACTTACAGAGCTAAAACTAAAACATACTGACTGCTAAAGTTATGCCAAGAGAAATTTCCTGATACACCATGTAACACAGTTTTCCCTTCTGATTTGTGTGCAAGTGCTTATTTTAAACACAGAAACCATACCAATTTTTGGAATTACATGACAGGGCTTGTTCATCTTCTATTTATCAAATGGCAATTTCATGTGCTATTCTGCCATAGACCCAATTCTGTTGTTCCCCCAAAGTTATCTCAGCTAATGACATTTCATTTTTTTAAATTTCTGACCAACCCTATGATCAAATTTCTTTAGGAATGGATCACCATAAAAAGAATGGTAATAATGTTTGAAATTACTGAAAAGCATTCTATTCCGGTAGATTATATTACCGGTATACCAAATGACATTGAACTTGAATCAGTCAGAGCCAATGAAATTATAATTTATAACTGTCAACTTTTATGAACACCGTTTCATGCAGGGAAAGATATTAGTAGTGGTTATGAGTTTAATAAGAACAACAATTTCACACAATCTGCATAATAGATTCTCAAAACAATTGCAAAAATATGCATAAGCTCAAAGTTTCAGATATTCTTTATACAATAGCACCCAGGGTACTAAGGTCTGAAAGTCATGTTTTTTACGGGGTGAGTGCTTCTTGGTCAAGCACACCCACCAAAAAAATATCAAATTTTTGTTGTACCAGGACAGGGGACGATCAAGTTTTTTAGGGGGATATGAAAAATCATTTTTACGAAGGACGTTACATCATCATCTACTAGGCGAACACAAACATAGGCATATTTGGTTTACATTTATGAGGCACCAAAGAATTTGTCAGGGGAATTTTGATGATGTCATGATGATGTCATGTTATTTGTCACCGTCTTGATCAGCAGATACATATTAATACTGTAAAATCTGTATTAAAAGCCGCGGCTTCCATTAAAATAGTACAATGCAACAGAGGCTTCTATTGGAGCATCTACATGATGAGAATTGATGAATTTTTGATTCTCAATTATTCAAAAAGAATGGGTACGTCTTCTATTAGAGATGCGGCTTCTAATACAGATTTGACAGTACTAGTGATTAGCACAGATTGCAGTGAGACTGTTGCCTGTAATAAGCAGTATTAGTATAATAAGTAAAATTGTCTTTAAACATCCTCGTCTTACCCTTGTCCTGTGTCTCGCCTAGGGATTGTGTGAGTGTGCGTGTGGAAGTGAGAAAATGCTATGTTAAATAAAACACAACAGACTTGGACTCTCAAAAACCAAAACATTCAGAAAAAAAACAGCCAAAGAATAGCAGAGACACCAACATCCAGTCATTAGACAAGATGATAGCATGGCAGAGTCACCAAAATCCAACACAGACGGAAAATCTGAGATGCTCATGTCAATCACAGATCATGATAGTTATATGACTGACAAAAGAACATGCTTTTAATATAATTAGTGAGATGTAGTATTTAATAATTAATAAAATAACAAATTTGTGGATTCAGGCAGATAGCTAGGAAATCATTACAACTATCAATTGTCTTTATTAAGTGTTTTAAGTTTGAACCAACCAGACATCAGTTAATATTATTTTTTTTAACAAAATTTAGTAGTTAAAAAAATATGGAAGTTCATTTATTTAGCTTAAAACTAAGTATATTTTTTGTTTGTTTTAGTGCTGTAAAATTGAATAGCTAAAACAAAAATGACAGAAACTTCATGTATTCTCAGAGAAGTCAATAAAGAAAGAAAAAAACATCAATTCAATGTTTTGCAGAAAATACAATGAAATGGGCTACAATACTCAATGAACTGTCAAAGCTAAAGAGCAGTTAGAAAATATTAAGAAGCGCCAACAGGATTCACAAACACATATTACGTAACTGCAAAGAATGTACTACATAGCAATGTGACTGAGATATATGCAGAGCAGACAAGACCGATGAAGAGAGAATCAATACAAGTAAAATGGAAATCTCCGAAATTGGATAAAAATGGCTGTCGTGGCATGCAACTAAACTGAACCTACAGTTATTTACCAGCATGTGAAAGTCACAGGCCAATCAAAAACATGGTTACATTTGACTGACCAATCACATTCAATGTTGTAAAACCCTGCAGAATCAGCTGTGCAACTTACGTAGTGGATCTTGTTGTACTCTGTTCGTAACATTTGTAATATTTGCAACTTTTGCTTTATTAGCTACCTGACCTGAAATATTGAG